CTACCAGCAGTTCCATGGGAGAAAGATGAAGCTGTCTTCTCCTGTAAAGATTTATAGTCTTGGAAACCCTAATGACCATCTCTACTTTGTCCTATTGGGCTGCCATGAGTTGGAATTAACCATTTGCAGTGATTTTCGTTTTTAGTTTTGTTTATTTGGTGCCAATCGCTTCTTGGAAACCCTATACAGGGTTACTATGAGACAGAACCAACTCAACGGAGACAGAACCAACTCAAGGGCACTTAACAACAACAATCCAAGATTAATACATTTTTTTCTTTTTTTTTGAGAGGATGAATCTGCAGGATAAAAGAAGGAACTAACATTTTATTGGAAGTCTAATATACACCTGGTGTTGTGGGGCAATGAGCTGGAAATCAGTGTCAGTTTGAACCACAGTGTTAGAGGTTCAAGTTCATCAGTCACAGCTTGGAAACCCTATACAGGGTCACTATGGGCTGGAGCCAATTTGACAGCACTTAACAACAACTACAAATATATACCTGATATTTTACTATGCTATATATATCTGGTAGTATAGTGGATTATTAGCTGGCTACTAACCACAGTTAGCAAGTTCAGCAGTTTGAATTTACCAACCACTCCTCTGGAGAATTTACCAACCACAGCCTTGTGAAGGTTTACAGCCTCAGAAACCCTATACAGGGTCACTATGAGTCATAACTAACTCTACAGCACACAGCCACCACCACCATATCTATCTTGGAGTCTTCATGTGGCTCTGTAAGATAAGCTCTGGACTGCTGACTGCAAGGTCAGTGCTTCAAACTGACCAGCCACTCCCTGGAAACCTTGTATAGGGTTAGAACCAACTTGACAGCACTTAACAACAACAGTAACGTATCTATCTTACTTGATTACTTGATTATTGTCTGTTCTTTCTGTGTGTTAATAAGGAGGGGTAAGCAGAAGGGAGTAGAAAAAGATATGTAGGAGGGAGGCTTGGGAAACACATGGACAAAGGGTAAGAAATGTAAGGACAGAATAGAGTGAACACAAGTGTGTGAGGGCATTCTGAAACTGAGATGCTTAACATGATTGAAAATGACTGACCTAGGTCTGAATCAAAGCTCCATTTTTAACATGAACCTTTAGTTTGTCTCATTCTCTTTTCTACCTTGCTAAGAATAAAACCTATGATTTAGAGTTTTATGATATGGAACTTCTTGTAAAACTTTAACTACTCTCAGTAAATAATGGAGAAGACAAAGATGCCGTTTATGAAGAAATATTTGCAAGGAAGATCTTGGGAGAATGATTGCACAGAATGCCCTAGGGAGAGTATATATAAAGGTATTTCAGAAAATCGCTTGCTAGCTTAACTCCAGGAAGTCTATGTCAGAAAATAGATTAGTTTACCTTGCCAAATTTTAACTTGTTATTGTTTTATAAATGCATGTAATCCCCAATCCACATTATGTGGTCACACACTATCTTTCCCTTTTTTTCTGTATAAAAAGCTCAGAATGTTGGAACACTTTGTGATTTTGACTTGCAGTGTGTTACCTGGCTTGATCTGTCCCCACCAATAAAAAAACTCTGCTTTCACTTTTAACAGAGGGTAAGTTCTATTCAGCTCTATGATACAAGTTACAAGACCTCAAAGTGTTTTTAGCACTTTTGAAGCGTGTGAGTCAGAGCCTATATATATATCAAGAAGAGAGAACTGGAGAGGCTAAGGGGATTATGTTTAAAGGGAAGTGACATACTGTAAATTAAAGTGTTGTAATCATATAAACTAAATAGAGCAAGGTGAATGGAAATTCTCAAGTGTTGTTTGTATCAGTTCTGTTTTGTTTTGTTTTTTTCTTTTTCTGTTTGAACAGAATACTGAATGCACATAAAGACTGTACTTATGGATTTCTAGGACATGGTTCAGGCTGAAAGAAAAGACCCACCACTTACCTGAAGAATCAGGTATCATAGAAAGTGTCTGGGAGATGTGGGGAACAACAGTAGCAGTGTCCATCCTTGATCCAAAGGAAGTGAAGGTGTTTCCTGAAAAATATATCCCATGTAAATCTGACTCTGATCCCACACTAAGAACGTGCCATGAAACCTTGTCTCCCACACACATATCGAGTCCAGGCAGGTTTCCATACATGTATCCATTTATGGCTGCAAAACATTTGGGAGAGAGAAAGAATATTTCATTTATTGGTACTTGGTATCTTCTGAAAGGTAATAAAACACTTGTCACAAAATAGTTCATTCATGTAAGAATCTGATGTCAAATATTTACAATTTCCTGCTAACCACAAGACTAATCACTCTGTGAGACAAAAACAAGGCTGTATGTTCCTGTAAAGATTTACAGGTTTGGAAATCCCATATAGGGTTGCTATGAGTCAGCTGAGCTTACAGCCTCGGACAGATAGGAAGAAGGAGAGGTAGATTACTTCTGAATGCTTAGCCACTGAAAACATTGTGAATAACAGTGCAATACTGCCAGATAGCACCAAAATATCGTCAGATATAGTCTCAGAAGATGAACCTCTTTGCTGGTTGATGCTGTTGTTGTTAAGTGTTGTTGAGTCATTTCTGACTCCTAATGACCCTGTATAGGGATTTCGAGGAGTGGTTAGTGAGTTTGAACAGCTGACCTTGTGGTTCAAGCTGACCTTGCAGCCCAGTGCTAATCCTATACAGTGGCACACTAATACTGAAAATACGACTAGGGAAGAGTTGCCTCCTCAACGTAGAGTTGACTCTGATGATACGAATGGAGTAAAATTTACAGACTATTCATTAGTTGATGGGGTACAGCTTAAAATGAGGAGAAACTGCCTTAAAAATCAATTAATAACAGGAATATAGAATGTACAAAGTATGAATCTAGGAAAACTGGAAGTTGTCAAAAATTAAATGGAACACATAGATACCTATATCTTAGGCATTAATAAACTGAAATGGACTGAATAGTGACTATTTTCAATCTGACAATCATATAGTTTACTATGCTGGAATGACAAATTGAAAAGGAAAGGCATCACATTCATCATGAAAAAGAACATTTCAAGATTGTCCTTGAGTATAATGTTATTTACAATAGGATAATAGACATATGCCTACAAGGACAACCAGTAATACCACTGTTATTTAAATGAATGCACCAACCAATAAAGCCAGTGACAATGAAATTGAAGAATTCTACCAACTTCTTTAGTCTGAAATTTATTAAACATGCAATCATGATTTATTGATAATTACTGGTAATCGGAATGCAAAAGTTGGAAACAAAGAGGAAGGATCTGTAGTTGGAAAATATGATGTTGGTGATAGAAACAATGCTGGAGATTGCATGGCAGAATTTTGTAAGACCAGTGACTTATTCATTGCAAACACTTTTTTAAAACAGCATAAAAGATGTCTGTACGCATGGACCTCACCAGATGGAATATGTAGAAATCAAATAGACTACATCTATGGAAAGAGATGGTGAAAAAAACTCAGCCAAAACAAGACCAGGGACAGACTGTGGAACAGACCATCAATTGAAAGTTTAGGCTGAAGCTGAAGATAATTGAAATAATTCCACAAGAGCCTAAGTACGACCTGGAATACACCCCATCTGAATTTAGAGATCATCTCAAGAACAGATTTGATGCTTCAGACAGTAATGACTGAAGACCAGAAGAGTTGTGGGATGATATCAAGAGCATCATACAGGAAGAAAGCAAAAGATCATTAAGAAGACAAGAAAGAAGGAAAATACCAAAACGCCTGTTAGAAGAGACTCTGAAATCTTGATGTTAGTAAAGACGCTAAAGCAAATAGAAGAAATGAGGTGGTGGAATGAGAGATACCATTGCTGATGTCAGATAGATTGTGACTGAAAATAGAGAATACCTGAAAGATGTTTACCTGTTCTTTATTGATTTTACAAAGGCTTTTGACTATGTGGATCATGACAAGTTATGGACAACATTGTGGAGAATGGGTATTGTTGTTGTTGTTGTTAGGTGCCATTGAGTCAATACTGACTCATAGCAACCCTATGCACAACAGAAGGAAACACTGCCCAGTCCTGGGCCAACCTCACAATTGGTGCCAGACTTGAGCCCATTGATGCTGCCACTTTGCCAATCCATCTCACTGGGGGTCTTCCTCTTTTTATCTTTCCTTCCACCTTACCAAACATGATATCCGTCTTCAGTGACTGGTCCCTCCTGACAATATGTCTGAAGTATGAGAAACGAAGTTTGGGCATCCTGGCCTCTAAACAACACTCTGGCTGCACTTCTTTCAACACAGAGCTGTTGGTTCTTTTGGCAGCCCATGGCACTTTCAATATTCTCTTCCAACACCATAACTCAAAAGCATTAATTCTTCTACGATAGTCCTTATTCACTGTACAACTTTCACATACATAGAAGGTTACTGAAAATACCATGGGTTGGGTCAGGCGCACCTTAGTCCTCAAGCTGACATCTTTGCTCTTCAACACTTTAAAGGGTCTTATGTATCAGATTTGCCTAATGCAATACATTGTTTAACTTTTTGACTGCGGCTTCCATGAGTTTTGATGGTTGATCCAAGAAAAATGAAGTCTTGGACAACTTCAGTCTTTTCTCTTTTGATAAGAATGTTGTTTATTGATCCAGTGGTGAGGATTTTTGTTTCTTTACATTGAGATGTAATCCATACTGAAGGCTGTGCTCTTTGATCTTCATCAGTAAATAGTTTAAGTCCTCTTCACTTTCAGCAAGCAAGGTTGTATCATCTGCATATCACATCTTCCAATCCTGATGCCATGTTTTTCTCCACATAACCCAGATTCTCAGATTATTTGCTCAGCATTCAGGTTAAATAAGTTTCGTGAAAGAATACAACCTTATCGCACATCTTTCTTAATTTTATACCATTCAGTGTTCTCATGTTCTGTTCGAACAACTGCCTCTTGGTCTAGGTACAGGTTCCCATGAGCACAATAAAGTGTTCCAGAATACTCATACCTGACAATGTTGTCCATAGCTTGTCATAATCCACACAATTGAAAGCCTTTGTGTAGTGAATAAACCACAGGTAAACATTGTTCTGGTATTCTCTGCTTTCAGCTAAGATCCATCTGATGTCAACAGTTATAGCCCTCATTCTACATCCTCTTCTGAATCTGGCTTGAACCTCTGGAAGTTTTCTGTCAATGTATGCTTGCAGCTGTTTCTGTATTATCTTTAGTAAACTTTACTCATATGGGATATCGAAGATATTGGCAGTGTATTTTCACATTCTGTTGGATCACCTCTCTTTGGAATGGGCACAAATATGGATCTCTTCCAAACAGTTGTCTTCCAAATTTCTTGGCATAAATGAGTGAGTGCCTCCAGTGCTGT